CATATTGAGAGAAAGATGTGTTTGTGTTGAGAGTTTGTGTATGCTGCTTGGTAGAAGGGATAGTGTCAGTAGCTATGTTCGTGCTAGGTGACTGATGTAGACGATTCTTCACCAACAGGTGAGAAGGATACTTTAGGCTTTCACTGAGCAGCCTGATGAGAAGGGTTCTCCTCTGTTTAAACAAAGGGAAATAAGCTAGTTGGTGATACCAAGTGTTTCCTCAGAGTTGAGGTTACTGAAGGAGAGAGGGCTTGGATGTTCTGAGCCATTCCGGTGGTCCTGCTCAAGTGCTCGGCCATGGAGGCTCCGGCAGGTAGCGTCTAGGTCACCAGATCTGGTGGTTTTTGCTAAATGTGGCTAAGAAGTTGGTAGGTGGGGGAATGGTGTTTGAAAAAGTTCCTAAAAAATGAAAGTATTCATTGGATATTTCTGTGCAGAGTTGACTTAACCCAAAGACACAGAGGTTATTGACCTATCTCGATCTTAGTGCCTGAGAGAGAATAGCTATATTAGCATTAACTTCCTAGTAATACATGGGAGAAATAGGTCTCTGTCTCCATTTTTAGGACAACAAAAAAAATCCAAATTAGCTTATATTTATTATAAAATGCTAAATTAGGCATGGATACATGGTATGATTTATTTGAGTTGTATGTTACCACATATTAGGACCATAATACCATAATGTTGTAATGTTACATGTGATACATGTGATACATGGTATGTTACCACATGTAACATTACAACATATTAGGACCATGTTACCACAATACCATAATGTTAAAGTACCCTTTTTATTTGAGACAAAACCATAACGTTTGTCTTCAAATTTTAAAATAAATAAATTTATCGTGTCTTCAAATTTTAATATGTATGTTTTTTTTGTTTTTTTTGCCGGCTAAATATGTTTATTTTGTGTTTGCGTTACAAAATCATTAAAAATATTAAAATATTCTTTTCTTCAATTTTTGAAAATAGTATTTTGAACATTTCGTTAGAACAATTAACTAACACCTCAATCTGAATCAGGATAAAGTGAAAAATGTTCG